ACGTACGTTACCTTATATATCCCTTTTGACAATATTCTGATGCCTTGGAACTTTTAACGATCTTTTTTATATGTGTTTTGTCTTTGAACGTTTTGTACCTTGCGAATGTATCTCGAGCAATGTTAAACACTGTAGCAGGATAAATCATCGATGTCGTGAATTGGGTAAATATACTTTTTTATATAAATGTGCAGCTTAAACACATTATATATACATTCAGGACCATAACATGATTATGTCATACAATTATTCCAGCCTTTTACTAGACCGACACTATTATATGTCATGCTAACCCAAATATATATACTCTGCAACAACAACGCGTTATGTTTTTTTTTAATTGTATTCGGTATACCTCAAATGGATTACATCATGCTTTGTTAGGTATATTGAGCCAATATGTCATACGGAATGCTGAACACACAGTTTGGGCAAACAGTCACTTACGATAAATATGGTACAATTCTGGTATAACTTTAAAGTCAGTATATATATATATTGTGATCCCGATATGCGACTAATACTGTTGTCCATATTCTCTGCATGGATTGAATCAATTTATATTTTCGGACTTATTGGCGCTGTTATAGAATATATATCGGTATGGGGTTTTCTATATTTTGAAAGTCGTATGGTGACCTGTTTTTTCTAGTATCCACGTTAGAATCTGGTGGATAGTTGTTTCATTTTTAATCATACCACTTCTCCTTATTGTTATAGTGTGGTATACTTTACCATTCATGTTGCAACGCTTGACGAGGCTGGTCCGATGATTCCGGCGGGGGTTTGCGTGAGCTGACGTGTCTATCAAGTTTGTCCAAAAATGTTCTAATGGGTGCAAACCAGGCGAGTTTCAGGGCCATGTCAATACACATATGTTCTTCAGAGTTATGAAATCCATGGTTCTCCTTGTTGTATGATACCGGACATTGTCCTACTAAAACATCTTCCTCAGTTGGTCAACACATTGAGCATATGTGCCGGTTAAATATTGTCTCCATAATGCTGGGCCGCTACATATCCTTGTCACGCACCATGTATGTTCTGCAGGGATATTGCTGACCACATCATGACGATGTAACACCAAATATGTCAACTTCCTGTACAGGATAGAAACGTTCATTTCAACGCTTGTATACGAGAGTTAGTTCATCACATTTCAGTTAAAGAAAACCTGACTCATTCCTGGACCAAATTCGGAGCAAGTTTTTTCAAAGACCAGACCTAATGAACGACATGAACGAACATGTGAACTTCTGTGTACCGGGGTTAAAACTAGTCCAGTATAAGTTCTTCATAGTCGAACTCTACTCTGGCAAAACCTGATACGGACTGTCTGATTGAATAATTTTTGTAATTCTTGGATATCAGCAGCAATGACTGTAGCAGTGACGATGTTCGATATCAACATTCGGATATACTGATCTTTGGCTGTATAGGTGATGCGTTGCCTATCCCTTCTAGGACGAGCTGGAGCTGGTCTTGTTTTATTTAGACTCTGCTAATGGCGTGAAGTAGCAATGGCAATAGCCTGTTAAAAGACTTTTTTTAACCACGATAGTTTCACGATAAAATTGAGTTTTCCATAGAATACACCTGAACACTTTGGGTTTTTTTTTTTTTTTTTGCACGGTAACAGCAACCTTTATTTTGCAGGAAACAATGTCAGTTACTAAAGATTAAGATCTGGGACCTTAAATCCATGCATACAATAACACTGGAGAAGGGAAACTTCAACGAAAAATTATAGTTATGATGACACAACATAGTTGCCAAGTTGCTCCCAATGACTTTTTTGTATTTTGAATACACCTTTAATAACCCATTGATCGAATTTAATTTTTTTGTGGTATTCGGTTTTTTTTTTTGGTTTTTTTAATGTATCGGACCTAAGCGTTACTAATTTTTTTTAAAGTGTATGTCATTGTTCATAAGAGTTTGATTCCTATTTGAATGTATTATTATTTATAAAAGTAGAATGCTTGAGATGAAAACGCAAGTATTAATTTTAAAATCTTTATTTACCCTTCCGGTGATCGTAATCTTATCTCCAATACTCTTGGCTAGCTTGCTTTCACCTAGGAAATTGCGTGATTAGATGACCGATTCAAGATGAAATTAGGCATTTATCAACAAGCATGTATTTGTACTCGAAGTTTTGGACTGGATGAGGTCTTCATATCTGGATGTTGATAAGGAAAATTAAATGTAATAAAATAAAATTTAAGAATCCAAAACAAGTCTTTTCAAAATTGTCTGCGATTTCTAATATCTAGAGTTATAACGTGAGTATGGTATAATTTTGGAGAAAGAATTACAGAGTAATCCTCAATAAGGATGTTTTTTTAGGAGGATAATACAATCAAATTAAAACGTAGCTATTTACATTTTAGATTTAGTTATTATCAAAATATTTAGACAAATATATAGTCAAGAAAATATTATGGCAAAAAGTTTTAGTATTTTCACCTAAATCCCGATTTCTTTTGTTGTTTTACCATACACATACAATTGCTCCTTTAAGTTTTCCTTCTGCAGTAGTATTGTATACATGGACATACCCTCCCAGATATGTTCTTTTATTCTAAAGTAACTGATATCGAATAAAACACATAGACCGAACGGTGACCTATTGGTGTTCAGATCCTTGTTCTGTGGTCTATGGATAGTTGTCGAACTTGACTCCTATTGATTATTTACAAAACTCTGCCACATTTTGTATGTGTCTGTCCCAAGTCTAGAGCCTGTAATTAACTAATTTCCTGGTTGGCGGCCGTCTGTCAATTTTTTTTGGTTTATTGTTTTTAGCATAAATCCTGTCGTTTGTTTTCTCCTTTGAATTGTTTCAAATTTGTCTCGCTGGGACTGTTTATAGCTTACTTTACTTTATGGGTTTTGCTCATTGTTGAAAGCCGTACAGTAGCCTATATCTGTTTATAATCCCCGTAGTTTGGTCTCTGGTTTATACTTGTCTCATTGCCAATATTACCACATCTCTTTATTTTTGAACATCTGTAAACGGTATACGTAATAAAATTAGACATACTCAATTACTTAGTGAGGGGCTCATGCATCAATATTCAAGGTTAATCACAAATGAAGGTCAAATAGAACAAAGTAAGCACTTCCATTTCATTAAAAGCGTGTACTGTATAAACTCAATTATAACAATATAACAATACAGTTAATTTGAGAATAACTATCAAAATTAAGCTATCCCTTTTACTTTGTAAACTGTAAGAGTTTAATTGATGCATTAGTTTGTATAAGGAAACAGAAATGTTGACATGAAAGGTAAGTATTACAACGAATTAAAATCAATATCTAATTGATGTTAAATGTTGATATTTAATCAAACAAAAACCTCACCGACTTTTACTTTATTAGAGAAATATACAATACCCGTTCTTAGACAAGGTTTCGAATTTGCTTCTTTTAATTGGTTGAAGCGCTATTCTTGATTAAACATCATCATTCGATGAATATAATCAAATTTGGAATAATTGCATTACATAAATGATGTAAGCAGGCGATTGACCTTTTCCAAAAATGATTTTCTTTTAGATCTCTGTAACCAAACTAAAAGCAAAGAGATATAACACAAGTTAATCAAATTAGGAACATCTTTTCTCTATGGTATATCAGAATACTATCATTTACAATTATATTCCCACAACCTAGAAAAGCATTTGAATACGAGAAAAAAGAAAAATTGGGAAAAAATGGCAAGAAATGAGGTGAAGTGTGTATGTTTGTTATCAAACGTGACAACTATCTTTTTTCAAAACATTTTTTTTTAACAAATGTTTCCTGAAGTTTCAGTTGAGAATTAGTTAACCTACGACACTGAAATCAGTATCTCTACAAATAAATCCGTGTCTCTGTTGTTGAAATGTCATTCCATGATGGTATAACACACGAAGTAGTCAGTTCTTCGGTTTTGACATACTTTACGTGATACTTGCTTATTGTTAATTGTCAGTTTAAAAATTATGATCTTGTATTAAAACTAAGGTTATCACTCTTCATGGAAATTAAAAGAAAGAAAACGGAAGTGTCAATTTCAGTGTATTTGTATATTGTTTAAAATTGAACGCTGTATACTAGAATTTCAACGCCGTTTGATTGCATTATGCACCCAGCAAAATGAAGGAAATAGAAAAACTAACTGTATTTTAAAAATAAAAAGAATGAAACGACTTTTATTAAATCTGATCAATTTGAGTACAATGTCCTATTCTACCTCATGGACTTAAATATGCTGACATTTCTAGTTCACTCATAAATAAACAATAAGTTAGATCTATTTATTGTATGTTAACGGGACGTCCTGTAGTCTGGCCTCTACAAGTCAAATAATAATTAACACCTACACACAGGCTGGCCTTTTAACAAATTATTGGCATTTTGAAATTTCAATCAAAAGCTAAATGCTTTTTATAGTCTTTTGTATTTCGTATAAAAACTCTTTTCATGTATTGACTTGGCAGCTAAAAGGACTATTTCTCCTTGTCAATACACACTGTCAGTCATATATATGAAATGTATTTTCCATTATTATTCGAATTATTAATCTGGTATTAAATTTCATAATCCAGAATTTATCATCTGGTTAATAAATCATCGCTATTTACGACATTTAATTAAATCTTGTCAAAAGATCAAAACGTTCCACTTAAGACAGGGTCCATTATCAAACCCCCAGGTCACACCTTTGGTTCAATGTTTATTTCATATCCATCTTATCTTTGTTTAAATAAGTAGATTAGGTGTTCATCGACAATTGAAATTAATATTTATTTTCATAAACAGTCAATTAAAATTATCAAAATTTCGAGTAGCACATATGATGATGGTTATTTATCTCATCGAATTAGCTTGAATTGATATGCAAACAACTTTGAATGCATTAAGGTGCTTCAACTTTAAAAGTATATATTTTGTATATTCTAAATAAATAAACTTCAGAAAAAGGATACAGGGATATTTTCCATTTACAGGATACAACCAGTAAGGGGAAACAAGGTGGTCAAGAAGCAACACCTGCTGAAATTGAACTGGTAAGTTATTTTTTCCGTGCACTGTAATTCCAATACATGTTAAATCCAAAAGAGCAACTCACCTTCAGGCTTTCTTTGATTTTTAATAGTGGGACAATGCATTTGTAAGTATTTTGATTATGTGTCCAAAGCTAATGCTTTCTATGCTTTCTGGTATCTTTAAACTATGTTGTTTTACCATAAGCAGATTATCTTATAATAAGTTGATTACTCTTGTAAATATTTTCTTATTATTTATTATAGTTTAATCAAGACATTCTGTGCCCCAACAGTTTTCATCATTTTTTATGATGGTATATATACAATATATGTACATTATTGTAAAATATAAATTTATTTGAAGAAATAGAATAAAAATCGAGGTTCGCCTAGGTTTTCTCCTGTTTCGTAGCGAGTACAAATAAATTTGATGAGGTATAAAATGTGCTCTCCTTGAATGTGCTCGTCTTGTAGTAAGCTCAGTTTGGAATTGCCTTTATTGGATGTATAAATGTGCAGCCACGTTTAGTCCGATGAGTCGTGTAGAGTGCGCTCTTTGCACTTTACAGAAAAATGATTTGACTGATTTTTCAATGAAATCGACTTAGTTTAAGCGCGGACCGCGAATAGGACCTCAAACTGAACTGTCACACACAAAGAAATATTTACATTACCGTTTGCTCAATATGGAAGCGGAGTAACCGGAGACTATATACGTACAAATAAAGCAAAAACGTATTTGTGCACCTGTTATTTGTACAGTTGTTGTTGGATTGCAAGATAAATATGTATTATTTTTGTAATGAAAGTATTCACACTACTAGTCTGCGCTTGCAATGAAATTTCATAGATAGAAAGTTTTGGAAGTCATGATACAGATAGTAACTTTGTTTTGATTGGTTGTTTTGTTGTTTTTTGCTTATCACACAGTTGCATGTCGAAAGCAAAATGATTAACAATGAAACTAACATATAGGTTAAGCCAAGTTGTTCGACTTGTATGAAGGGCGGTACATTTCGGCTGTCACTGGAAACAAAGAATAGAGGCAGATATTTTGCTTTTCAAAAAGCTACCAACGGCTCCCCAACAAACTGTTTGCATGATTCTGTAAATAGTGCGCTCTACACGACGCATCAGATTAAACGTGGTTTCGTATTTATACATCCATCAAAGACAATTGCAAACGGACGCTTCTCTCAACATGGGATTACTACCAGACGAGCGCAGTCAAGAAGAGCACATTTGTAAACCCCATTTAATCCTCGAAATTCATTAATATGAATTATAGATTAGTAGTATTTGTTTTTGTTTTTAAATATGACAAAAAAAGTAGTTTCACTTTTGTCTATATTCTGTTTATCAGTTTTGTTCATAGTCAGAAATCAAGAGAAAAGAGTTGTTTCAGTTTGCCTTTTTTGACGTTTTTATGGCCCGGCTTGAAAATAAACACGAGATAGAGCATAATGAAACATAATTACTTGATTGTATTTATATTTGTCCCGATTCTTGTTTTAAAACTTGTGTAATTACCAGAAACAAACCACAGTCAATCAAAAAAATATGGTCAATGCCTAAGCATTTGCTTGAGTGATTTTACGTTTTACGACCTAACAAATTTAAATTTCTCTAAGTCTCTAAGTTGATTTTAAGAATGGTTATATCTACTAAATAGACTAGCAAATGTATTTTTAAATAATACAACTCGAAATTTACCGTTTATCTTGTACTCTCACTTGTTGGTTTCCTAATGGTTCAGTGTACTTCTATAGACACGTTATATAATAGACTTTTAAGGATAATATTGTTCCCTATTGCGTCAGTAATGACGGGGATTAATCATCTTGTAAATCTTATTTAATACACAAAACACAAATATTTTGATGTTTTCGTTAATTCTTTTGTCGGTTTATTTAATTACATAACCTTAACAATTATTATTAGATACCTAGCTGTTAAAGACAGACAGGAATTGGTTAAATGATTGCTAATCATTTTTTTACCTTTAAATTATTTGGTTAAGTTTCGGACAAGTATGAATATAAAGGGATGTGGTATTACTGCCATTGAGACAACTGTCCATTTGAGGACCAAAGAACAAAGATGTAATTCAATAATAGTACAGTTCAATGTACGGTAAGAACGTGTATAAGAAAATAATGTCACTTCCGAAAAAAAGTCAAAGTGTATAAGACTGTATATATGTCAGCAATGGTTAATTGTATTGACTTCATATCGACAAGAGAACTGTTATATTTCTGACTGATTGCAAGGACTATGGGGGAAACTGTTACAATTTTTAATTCCTAATGCACTATGAACATGATAAGATATAATAATAGGTCTATATACTTTTTCTCAACGAATGATGGAAACAATCTTTTTTTTTTTTAAATTTGTGATGTTTTTTTAAATTCTTTCATAAAATGATCCTAATAGTCGCTAAAAATTTTAAAAAAGAATAACTTCTTTGAATTTATAAAAGAAATCAATTTGGTATCCCACTCCGCTGATTAAAACAACTGAAGGCGAATAAATAAATAGATAAGAAACCCTGTGTTCGTCAGGAGAACAGTGCTTTTAGTCTTGCTTTATATATATTTTGTAAAGATAATTTCATGATATCACATAAAATGAAGAAATTAAAAATAGGTGCATGGAAACCGAGAGTACATTATAGAGAATAGTAATTTGATAACTTGGTAATGTGCTTACATCTGTAAATAAGTATTTTCTTGCTCTTTTGGATAAAATATTTTATATAATGTAATAGGACAGATCAAGCGTGGGCTATGACATCCCTTTTTCTGACGTAAATTTCAGTGACTGGCACGAGAACAACATTTAATACTTTGTTATTCGTCTGTTTTGCTATGTTAATCGTGAGTTTATTTAATTACTTAAATTAAATACCCATACAACCAGAAATTATGGTGTAAAAGTATGAGGTTTTATTCTGATTATCAAAAACTGTCCAATTCAGGTGCGGATTTAGGCGGGGGCGCAATAAAAAAGAACAAAACATATAATAACGGTAAAATGACAGCTAATTTTCTGTCAAAATAAATAAGGTTCTTTAATTCCTTATTCTCAGGAGCAGCCTTCTCCGCTTTTAACATCAAATCCTGGATCCACGCCTGCAATTTAATTGTCCATATATTTCGCATGAAATACACTCGCTTTGAATCAACTCCCGTTTTCATTTAACAGGGATAGATATTGAATGGTAGAGTTACAATAGTTGTACATTTTGTGTACTTTCATGAATGTTTGAACTTGTACTATATATGTAGTCTTTATGATAAAAAACCACGAACCTACAAACGAAAGGCAGATGTATAATCTTATCGACTACAATGACGCGTAATTACAATGCAACGGCGTCATAGAGAACTTCACCAACATCCGACACTGTAGATTCCAGATCCGTTAAATATAGGCAACTCTTCCTATAAAACATCGACACAGCAGCAGACAACATATTTTTGTGACATAAATAGACGATTTTTAATATTCAAAACGATTAACTTATTGAATAACGATAAAAACGAAAGGAAGTTTCTTTCAACTGAGGAGAGGAATTGAAATTTAGAGCAATTCAACGTTTTTTTTTAATATAATAATATTCGTTCCATAATTATTTCATTTTTGAAAGTTGGTTAATATAATCAAATTATTATAGATATGTACTTAAATAAGTTTCACATGTAAAGTATATATGACTATTAGTCTATGATAAATTAAGCCTTTTTAGTTGTGATATGGCATATAACGTTAAATGGTGATTTAAGGATTTGAAAGTGCTTATTAAGCATAAAATATCAAGAAAATCTATATTAAGGTTCTCGTTTAAGATGAACCTAATCATCGCACTATATGCATGGAGCCGTTATTTGTGACGTAAATATTTGTCAAATATAGAGACAAAGATAATCTAAAGAAATGCACATTTTGAAAAAAAGTTTTCAAAATACCTGAAAATCACATGTTTACGTTCCAACTAATATGTTCGAACGTCAGGATTTCGCGCTTCTGGTTACAATAAGTTAATTTATAGAAAGGTTCACATTGAAAGCACTTAAAGCTAATACCTTTATTAACACCGATGTTTAACTTTTCTGTGTTATTTCTATTCACCACCTTTTGTGGCAAATTATATATATATATAAATGTAGATCAAACAAAATTAATGGGTCATATCTTTATCATAAGCTTATAATCTCGCATACAGGTCAATCAAAGTCCTTCATAAATAATATTCGAAATGTATAAAATAGCCAGAGTCCTGGAGAAATATTTATGGTCTATAAATAGAGTATTGACATTATGGATTCAGGTCTATATACATGTACATTGATATCTAGAATATGACCGTGTGAATTAAATAACCATCGGGGGGAAATTAATCTGTTGTTGAATGTGTCATGAAAGTGAAAAGAACAAATCATTTAGATACCGAAAGCCATTTTCATCTAAATCCCTTCCTAACAATATACTTGTATGAGGTAAACACTCTTACCATGAATCACAGATCAAAAGGTCAAGTTACCATGTATGCGCTTCGCTCAGAATGACAAATTTGAAAAAAAAAATGATAAAACCTAATTCAAGTAAGATATGTAAGACTAATTTTAACATTAAAGACATTCAGCACTAAATTGATGACGAAGAAAAGTTGGATACAATGTGATAACTTCTTCGTGGTTTTTGGTAAAAGTTTGCATCAACTGACACCCCAATAAAGTTAATCGGTTTTTGTCTGAAACGTTGTAAGAACAACAAAATACATGGAATTTCATGATGCTGTAATATTATGTAAAGTCTGGCTTATTGAAAATGATCTTGGTGTGAAATATGTTCAGGGGAAATTCAATTTCAATGGGTTAAATACTCAACTAATCTATTTACGACAGAGTAATTTATTTTTATTCTTAGCTACAAAGAGATTTTTGCACACCCGTCATGGTAAATAACAGACATTTTGCGTAATTTTCAGCTGATAAATTTACATTTGAAACCTATTTAAAACCTGAACGACAAAATTTCAAAACGTGGTCAGGCAACGTATCAAAATCATGCTATTTGTAAAAACCAGTTGCAGAACAAGACTGTAATATATTTGAGCGCTCACAAACATGTTTAGCCCCGCCGCATTCTTTATGTGCATGGCCCAAGTCAGAACCCTGTAGGTCAGAGGTTGATTTTTGTTCATGTCTGTCATATTTGTTTTTCGTAAATTGTTTTGTTATGAATTAGGCCGTTAGTTTTCTCGTTTGAATTGTTTCACATTTTTCATATCGGGGCCTTTAATAGCCTGCTATACGGTGTGCATTTTGTTCATGGTTGAAGGCAGTATGGTTGCCTATATACTTGCTACATCAACTGTATTTGAACTCTGGTGGGTAGTTGTCTCATTGGCAATCATACCACATTATTTTTATATAAGGCATTCGCAATAGTCTGAAAAATAGGTGGCCGATTTCCCCGAACAAAAATGACATTAAAATTCTAATAGCGTTATACTGTAGTCTGGTTTTCAAGTGACCACTTAATTTAATACGGCTCTTTATAGAAAATATGCAACGTCAAAACAAAATAATTAGAACGCTTTTTAAAAATAAAAGTATGTTTTATGTTATATTATAAATCTCTTTCATATTCAAGTGTATGCCATAATCCCGTAAAAGTGTCTGAATCATGTATGTTTTACACTGCTATTGTAAGATGACATGCTACTTTTTAAGGTGACCTGTACAAATTTATACAAAGGATTTAAAGTTGAAGTATGGACATTTTTGCACTTATATCTGAATCAAAGGTTAGCAAGGGTCACGTCATAATATCTTCATGCAAAAGAGATGTCTAGACCTTTGTATTTAGCATATCATAAATTTTTAAACGAATATTTTAAATCCACTTGAAATTATGGAAAAATCGATGGTTTATATTTCACAAACTTTCGTGAGAGAAGGGCGAACATATACACGGCTATAATAGTGCAACTATGACGTAGTTTAAATTGCTACCCCAAGGAGAGAACAGTTCGTGGAGGGTAGTGTGGGACGTTTAACTCTACTTATCAGTTTTTATTATGCTAATTCATAACTTTCAATTATACTAATATTTCATTTCATATTTAAACTACCGAATTAAAAAGGAATTTATCATATTTTTAATACAATACGTCCCAATAAGTGCTATAGAGGTTCTTCTTTATAAGAAGACAACTGACTGTAATGGATAGAATAAATTTCATAACTGTAAGTTGTACAACTATGTTCATGATCTAGTTAATATAAAAAAAATAGTGACAATGGTTGTGATTCTTTTAAAATTAAAAGTAGGTATTTAATTAAAAAAAAAAACTCTGTTTTATCCTTTTATTGCATATCTCTTTGTTATCGTTTCGTCTTTAAATAGAATCGTATAGTAGCGTAAATTCTTTTGTGGTTCTTTTATAAAACAGTATGGTCTTTTGTATATTTAAATGGACTACATGTATCAATTCCGTCTCCTGCTCACTGACCCACACTGGTGTAAACCACAACATATAAAACCACTGATTGCGGCGATAAATCAAAATTAGAAAATGAAAATAGTATCTTATTAACCTTTAGGCTCTGTGTGGTTGCATTTGCGTGCACTTTTAACCCATGTTTGACCGATTTATGACCAAAGGAAAGAATAAGTGTGTGGCATTTTGTTAAATGACAATATGTTTATTCTTTAATTTAGAAACACGAATATTATTGCTGACCAACACGTAGCAAATAAATGATAATCAGATATGAATGTTTGACCGATTTTTATGGCAAAAGCAAGGATAAATTTCGGGCTTTTGTCCAGTTACAACCTGTTCTGTCTTAATTTTGAAAACAAGAATATTGTTCGGATCGGGACTATTATTGCATATTTATACATATTTCATAAAGACCACTCAACAGATATTTTAACAATGCATAAATATATATTCTCTGTAAATAATCAAGATTTTTGTAAATATGCAAATGAAATTTATTCACATTAAATATACAAATGAAATTTATTCACATAAACTCACTCTTTTTAAACCAAACAGCAATAATGATTTATATACCATTTTCGACCTTGCCATTTCTCGTTGCAATCTTCATGTCAAAGATTATGATAAACGGGACGACTTTTCTTTTCCTTTATTTATTTTTATTTCCTGTAGGTAATATCATATGTTGGCTCCTTCTTATGGAGTGCATTTCTCATGTTTTAATGTAGCGACAAATGGGATTTCAATGAACGTCATAAGTTCATTACTTAAAAAACCTTTAAAGCAGGGACAAAGATATCATAAATATTTTAAACTTTCACTAAAATTTTATCACAAATAGAATGATTTTATTGTTGAAATATGATTCCACCTGCAGGAATTTAATAAAAGTGACATTTTGCATCCAATAGTTTACGGTAATATTATTTATAAGGCTTATTGCAAGGCAATGATTTATTTTCAAATCTGACTTAGTGAAGAAGGTTATAAACACAAGTATACTGTTATTCATCAGTCACTGCATCAATTTTTGTGGGAATAAACAACAACTTTAACTGATTTATAGTTTGAAACAATACTTACATGTTTCTTTTGTTATTTAGCCTTGAAATTTGTACAATTAATTCTGGACACTCGGTAAGATCGTGCTTTCCTGTATCGTCTATAAAGTTGCTGTATGGAATCTTCTTTGAACTACAGTAACCGATATAAGATTGTAAGACGGCTTGATTTCATATTAGCAGGTTACAGGTATACTTTGACCTTGCAGTTATGCTTAATACAGGATAATATTGTTTATTGCTTTTTGTACTCTCTGTATTACCATTATTGTGTACTCAACTTTAGATGTATTTGGCTACTTCTTTAGGTCCCTTTTGGTCATATAGCCCCTCACTTTTTCGGCCTTTGGACTCGAAATTATTTTTGAGTTTTGAGCGTTCCTGATGAAGGTAATTCCAGAAATGAGATTCGGACGCACGAAATTATATAAAGTGTTATTTTCATTTAAAACATGCACCGCGCATGTGTAGCTTTGATATGTTATTAGAATTTGAATGTCTAAAGATAGATGAAAACTGAAATTTTGGTAAAATTTGCCAAATCATCATTAGTTGTTAACACAAAAATGTATATGAGAATAACAATGTCAACCTAAACTAAAATTATATTGGAAGTTCAGTTATGTTTTTTTTTCGATATAAATTTATTCATGTATGTTAAGATCATAAAAATCATTTTATTTTTCAAAAAACATGTGAAAATTGTGACAATGTATCAAACTGGTCTTCAACATCAATGTTCAGGGCTAGAATTTAATTTGTTTTTCATTTTTTTAATTTAGACTATATAAACTCAAAAACGAACTGACAATGCCATGTCATAAACCGAAAAACGAACTGACAACGCCATGTCATAAACCGAAAAACAACTGACAATGCCATGTCATAAACCGAAAAACAACCAAAAGACAAACAGCAGTATACAAGCCAAAACATAGAAAACTAAAGACTGAGCAACACGAACCCCACCCAAAACCGGTGGTGATCTCATGTTCTCCGGGAGGGTTAGCAGATCCTGCTCATTATGTGATTAATATTCTAATTCCGATAGGCTATAGCAAGTGTCGAATTTTGTCCAAGGCGTTCAAAAAGTTCAAGGGAAATTGACCCTACATTTTGATACCATACTTCATAATGTTACGTACGATTATAAGTAAACTAGAAAATATTATTTCCATATTATTTTCTTCGACATGGAAATAAAGGCAAATTTTAACATACAAAAAATGTAAATGTATCTGCAAGATTCAGTCCTTATTCTTTTGATATTCTAAAATAGAATTTATATTTCTATGTTTTCGATATGACTTCAAGAGATATGATACAGAACTGTCAATAGCCATCAATAGTGTTTGTGACTGCTCAGAAAGTCAATGTTGTTTTTAGAAATTTGTGGTAATAGATCGAAATGAGGTGGTTAGTCATTAAATCAGTGTTAAATTCAATTCTCGTTTTGATCCGATTTTTATCATTGATGTGGTCTCAATAATTATATAAATATTAAGTTTGATATTTAAATGATTGAGTTGGAAAGGCATTTTATTAAAAGAATATAAAAATACTCACATTTTAGCGGATAGATTAAAGACAGTGTTAAAATTGTTTCGAAATGAATAAAGAAGTATAAATATTTGAAAAATTAAGACGCTATTAAAAAACTTTTAACACAGGTATATGTTAATCATTATGGTCAATAAAAGTCTAAATAATTTTACAGCTGCCATAAACCAACTTTTATATGGAGATGAATTACTTCCAGGGTTCATCAATGGGTTCAGATCTCTGAACCGTCTGCTGCGACACAGTTTGAAAAAAACGCAATCACTTGAACACCAAACGACAATTGTCACGAGACGACCTTTGCACTTAGAATCACATTTCCTTCTCGAATTGTATATATTGGCGGGGGATCTTTAAACTTATTGTTATAACAATAGAAATCCGCTAGTTGAGCGAAGATATTAAACGCACCAGTAACCTTTGTGGTATATTAATTCGTTTATAATAATTTCATAAGCATACGAAGGTTCACAATAGGCAGTGAAAGGGAAAAGTAGAAGTGGCTATTTGAATAACGGATAGAGTGTGACATACACAATGGATGATTAAAGGAAAGCAAAAGACTCTATCGTTGTCTGCATAATAATATCAGTTTTTCTTTTATATTTGACTTCCTGATTCTGTTCTTTAAAACATGAAAATGGATATTGATTAACACAACTGCTACCGGTCATCAGTTCAGATAATTTATAATTTAGATTCATGAACTTTAATAATTGGATGTATTTCAGGAATTAAAGCGACTTGACCACAGCTTCACCAAAGACATCCTAGAGAAGCTAGACAAAAATGTCGTGACCGAGGATATTTTGGAAAAACTTATTATTATACACATGAGGAAAACAAGTTGCGTTACCGTTCAGACCATCAAGGTTGCGGAAGCACCTTTATCAAGAACGCATAGTTTAACTGATGCCATAGACCCAAGACAAGATGGGTTCATCAATAGTGCAGGAAGCACCATCAGTCGGAAAAGTGAGCCGGACATGCGGAAATGGTCGAAAAAAGACGGATTGGGATCTAACAATTCCGATGATATTTGGGGAGAAGTGGAAAAATACCAAAGAGCTGTAAGTGTTTTAGTTCAGATAAACCGTTTTACCGACTTTGTTTTGTTAAATATTATTGTTTTGTTAAATGATTTTATTGAAGGTTAATTGAACCTGTCGTTAATTTTAACGAAGGATTATATTGGTGAGATCAACAGTATTTAATTAAATGTTTCTTTTTAATATCATTAACTATTTGTTTTTAACTCCTACGTAGTTTTGCAATATGTTTTAGCAACATATGTACTAACACAATATATCATGATTTATGGGGGAAAAACGACCAAATATAACGACCATTTCCATATTTTGTCCAAACATAATTTTTTACAACACTGATGCATGCAATTAGCAGAAGACATGACTAGATGTTGAAAATTATTCTCAGATTTAACAATAGATATCAACCTAACTTAATATAAAATTCCGAAATCAATAATTGTTATTAAATGTTTCATTTAAAATTAATTAATAGATTGAAAATATTTTTGAATTGGGGAAATGAAGGCGTGAAAAATCACCATTTATTGATGAATAAACTATTTGGTTATGTAAATTTAAAAAATAGCGATGTTCTTGTGATATTTTTTACTGTATTAGTATTAGTATTTATCTATTGCTACATTATTTATTTATTCAAAAGAAAAAGAGAGAAAAAATGAGCAATGAAAAATGTATACTTATTTGACTTCAAAAGGAATGCAAATGCAGATTCAATTTCAATCAATAGAACTACTCTCAACTTATTATAAATGGATAGCGAAAGAAGTTATTTGTATAAAATGCATACGTAATGATATGGTGCATTCACTATTCTTTAGTCGATTGTACTATCAGCCTGCTCATGAACTTACACATTTGGTTAATAAGCCATCAAAACGAAAAAAAGAAACCTTCACTTAATAATATCTATAATACCTTTATAACTGAAAAGAAAATAAATAGCATTAACGTCTTTATTACAAATTGTTGATGTTATCAGGAACTAAATATTAATATGACAAAATTGAATAATAATATTTAAATATTTACTACAATAAAGCATTTGACTCGGACTACAACCCACATATCTTTACGTCTTTGTCAGTCTGGTTATTGTTTAGACCGCAGTTAGTTCATACAGGGCATCTACAGTGTCATCGTCGTGCAAACGATCTTTTAATAAATACTATTCTTGTGCCAGAATCTGCTAAGTCATTGAACTTTAACAAAAATTTCCTTTGAGGAAATTAGTATTTCATTTATTTTTAAAATGAATTATTTGCTATATTTAAAACAATTTATTTCGAATGTTTTCTATATTTTTATATTTTGAAATGGTGAAAAGCTTTATTTGAAACTCGACTAAGTATTTAATAACACGTGTGCGGATTTTAAAATTGGTTTTCGTTTCCCAAATGTTTACGTTGGGAGTAGTTCATCAACTTGAATGTTACACATGTATTTATAAAACAAGGAAACTACGACAATTATAAAATTCTGTTAGTAGTCAACAATCTAAGTAACCGCTTTAGCATAGAATTTAGTGGATTTCTTCTTGGCTTATCTTTACTATGCTGTTTGCTGCATATCTTTTGTTTTTCATTGATCAATGTATGACATGTTTGAGATGTGAAAACATTTTGATCTTGCATAATTGAGGCCCCTCATGGGGGTGTCTAAGTAATCACATAATCACACATTTTTTGTCAATATAATCACATAATTATTAATTATTTTTTTAATCAAGATAATCAAATAATCAAAAATACAGTCCTAGATTATCAAATAATCAAATAATCATGAAATATTTGGTTTGGTTATCAAATAATCACTATAAAAACGGCCAGGTAATCACAAAATCAAAAACCCCATGAGATGGCTCATAATTTCATTTAAATTGTGTTTGAAGTCGCAATTTGTAAATTGATACGGGTGAAAGTAGATTTGGGTATAGTCTCATTGACCGCAACGCAATGACTTAAATAACCCAAAGACATCTAGAGGGCAACATTGTGTCTAAAACAATAGACAGATGTCTATACTATATGTTAAGCTTTAAATCGTCGTGATGCATTCTTTTAATATGCATGATCTTTTGTTCGGGTGTTAAGTTTAACAATGGCAGGGTCTGTCGTGACGTAAGCAAGCACTTAAATTTTTTGTTGAAATCAGCTTGTAAAATTACTTTAGAATTGTACACACTTCGTTTCCATGCATGTGCACGATGCTCATTAACTGTCATCGTTTAATAGCCTGTGCACCATTTGAAGCGTGAAACTTCAATTCTGTTTTAAACATTTCGAGTCCTACAATGCTCTCCGGGATGCTCATCTACACATGTCTGTTCCAAGGGAGGCATACATAGCCCAGCTATTAGTTTTCATATTTTTTTAAGCCTTTCAGTAAAATAATTTGAAAAGTAGTAACCACTCGCATTTGAATGAAATTTCTCTAACAAGAGACTCTGGTGGCAAATCAAAATTATGGTCAAGAAAATGTTAGTACACACTGTGACAAATGATCAAAAGTAGCTATATAGACTGCATTAAGTATCGTTTTTTCAACTACTTGTGAACAATAATTGGCCTTGTCGAATGTAAAGAAATAAATTTAAGTAGCTGTGAAATTAAATATTAATGCGTTGTCCGATTAACCTGCATGAACTGTGTCTTGTTCAATTTAAAAAGGATTAAATATTTCAATCTAATCTGTTTAGGTCCTGTGTTATAATATATTATTATACTTAAATGGTCGAATATACCAAGTTTAAATCAAAGTACCTTACATTTTTTGTAGCATTTTGAGGATGATACTGTTAAGGTATCCTTAAAAAGTAAATCCTTAAGTTGTTTACACCAAGGGCATTTCCAATTAAATAGAAAGCATTTTCTCCCAAAATTATTTACGCCACGGTCATAAAAAAGTAAATTATTATTATATAATATAATGTTTTTTTCGTAAGGCAACTAGAAATAGCAATTTTCTCCTAAAGTTATGTACACAACATTAGTTAATGCAATACCAGGTAATTTTGCAAGGCGTAGTAAATGAGAAGGAACCGTTTTTTCTTCAAAGTTATTTACAACACGACCATAACAAATGAATTGTTAGATATAATGGTTTTTCGCAAGTCAAAGAAGAAAAGCAATTGTCCCTTAAAGTTATGCACACTAAGGCTATTAAAAAGTAAATTGTTACTTTATATAATGGATTATTTCTAATATTTCGCAAGTCAAAGAATGAGAGCCATTTTCTCCCAAAGTTATTTACACCACGACCATTTTCAAAAGGTCTCCGTGCAATCTAAACAAAATTTGCAGCATCTCAGTCTCATGTATGTACAATATCAACCATACATATATATTCTTATTGTTTATCGTAATTATTATCAAATTGTTTAATTGTGAGATGGCTCAAAACTATAATTTGGATATTTTTTTTTCAAAAGCTATTGGATAAAGGAACTTTAAACTAAAACTAGCATTCTAATAGAAATAACAGTATCATTTACCATGTAGATAAAATACCTAATGGTCTCAGATACAAAAATTTCACTTTATACATACTTCATATACAAGTGTTTTTTTCTCATTGTCAAAGGCCGTACGGTGGCCTATAATTGCTTACTACCACTTCGTTTTAACTCTGGTGGGTAGTTGTCTCTTTATATTATACAACAGCATTGTTCAGTGTTCAATGTCACTTCGATTAGCTTGTAAAGTGCCGATTTCATTTAGACTCTATAATATTCGAACTGCACTAGGTCTAATCAGCTTTCTGTGCATAACAAATTACTTAGTATATATAAATTATAGTAATAATTTGATGAATAATGATTTAAATGAAACTTAAGTGGTTGCAAGTTATTATAGAATTTAAACAAATAAGAGACCCGGTATAGTAAATTGTTACTGAACAACGCATATCATCTTACGTCATAACACTCACAAATAAACATCAGAATTAGTTGACCTAATTACGTTTATCAATAATGTTACTTAATATTTCTGAAATAATGAATGAACAGTTCGGAATTTTAAGTGATATTGGATACAATTTAAAATTGAGCAGTGTGATTGTTCATTGCAGAAAAAAAGACCTTTTACAAAACAATTGATTTTAACGTAGTCTTTAGTAATGCCCCGGGGTTTCATGACCATTAATGACCCAGCAGACTAGAATTTTCATTCAATGTTTAGCAATACTATCTCCCTGTGGGAAGGAAAACCAGTGAAACGTTGATAGACTTTTTACCCCCTGTGAAAGGAACATTGCAATGCGACAAATGATTGCTTGAAGACAAAGTTAACATGATATGTTATTTAACAATCTTATCAATCACTTCTTTATTTAAAATTTGTTAACTCAATATCGTGTTAAACAAAACAATTTAAAAAATCTATATTTAGAATTCTAATACTTTCCTTTTCGTTTAATTAAATTCTAAATCCTAGCTATTTTAAACAGTTAATTTGAAATTATGCCAAACTTGACCTAGTTACATTGATGTTTATGGGGATCAAAATATTGAATATAAATGTATGACTAGAAATTTTTATGAAATTCTATGATATTGATTTGTTTTAATATAAACGAAGAATAATTTAAAGGTCACTAAATATAGAAATATACTTATGAAAATGTTATATGCCGCGATGTACTTTTTTAATCTAAAGAGTTAATATTGAACCGTTGCGCAGAAGCAGTCTAGTGTTGTTCCTTACCATAAAAATGGCACCATCAACATACACATTTTATAAAAGAATCTGTATTCTTGTAAATCTTGTCATTAACAATTATGTCTCACCATACAGAATTAAAAATGTTCATAGTTCTGATGCAAAATGTCTGTGGTTTGGTTTGACCGAATAGCTAATAATAATATAAAAGACTTTTAATACATGTTCATGGTACACATTTTGACTTGATTCAGCTTTTAATTTGAACAATATGATATTTACTTCAGAATGAAAGATGGGGAGTATTAATCAATGAGACAGCAATCTCCCCTCCCCCAAAAATAACCAAATGACATCATAAGACAGCAAATATTCTTTGACAATAGACAGGTGTCTCCACAATAGGCATATTTATGTGTATAAAATATCTTAGTAGATCTATTCAGAGTTCTATTGAAACTCATCCAGTTATTTCTACACATAGCCTCAGATACGATGTTGGTTAATAGTTTTTGGAATTGTGGCCGAATTAGTTATTTCAGTATTGGCAGTGATTTCTACACTAGATTATACAAGTCCGTACTTTCTTACGTAAAAAATAAACGTTTATATTGATGGACTAATTTGGACCTCTTTACATTTCTTTTAACGTTGCATAAATTACTGTATAATTAATACTATATATATATATGTATATGCTCGGTAACGGGCCCTTTAATTGGATTCAATAAATATTCTTATTCTTATTCTTATTCTTATGTATGTTGGTTTCTTTATGAAGATAAAAAAAAAAATAACCTGCAGTGCCGCTCCTGGCGGACTGCTTTTACTATCATTTTCATCAAGTCAGTAGTCGATGCTTTATGCTTTGCTATACTGAAATTTTTATTCTTAAATTTTCAGTTGAAAAATTTAGAAAATATTAAGAAATTAAGGATCCAACTCCTTCAGGCAAAGTTGATCAAAGACGGATTTTGTTATTCTTTTAAGTTCCTTTTTGTTCATAAAGCTAGCAACTCATTCAAGAGGTTATACATCCTTGAATTGCTTTCAAATTCTGGGGTTTGAGAGTTCCTAATCAAGAAAAAACGCACCAAACTTAAAAAAATAATTGTCTGTAATACGCTTTCTTTATATTCTTGATTATTTCATTTGCTTTTTTCCCTCGGGAACATTTACCCCCTTAATCCTTTTTAACTGCTTTGATATTATGAAAGTATTACCTGTGCCTTGTACGGTCCCACGTCGTTTTATCATCACCCGTCTGTCTAAGCAACATCAATAACAACTAATTAATATCTTTTTTCAAACATATCTATAAAATTAAAAGTTATTAATTTCAAGAATTTCTTAAGATTTTATTATAAGGAAACTTTATTAGGTAATACCCACAAAAGATTAATTAGGAATACGTCAAGATTTGATATACTGCGTGTCAGAACCTCGCTTGATTTTATATAAACGCCCTCCCCTAAGCATCTTAAACCGGCAATATGTTTCAACAATATTGACAATAAATTCAATTTGGTACAATCATTGTTTGAATAACAATACATAATATACGACTCTAACAAATCATACTTCTTTCTTTTAACTGTAGTAAAAAACTGAATGTAATTTTGAGCTTTAATTGGCTTTTATAATAGTTACCAAACTATTACGGAAGGATCGTAACAATGGGTGACAATGGCAACAAAAGAGGACCCTTTCACATCAAACAATAAAAATATAGTATGGATTCAAGATTTCATAATGTGGGTCTAATTTCAGGTAGCCGTTTTTTTAGTTATAAATATTTATAAATCGATCGACGTCAGCAATATTCTAGTACGATTTTTTGTTTTTTGTTTTTTAAAGAATGAAAACAAATATATCAGCGGGAGGCAGTTAAAATAGATTTCATGTAAAAAAAAGTTAACCTTTAAACTTTACTGTATGTTTTGAGACAAAATAATGATATACTGGAGCATGTTATCATGTACACTAAGCTGCCTTAGTATGTCATATTATCGATCTAAATGGATGTTAAGGACACTTTGGTAAGCTGTCAGTTTTATTTGAATTTTTGTAATCGGTCACATTTTTCTTGTTTTGGAAAGGGGGACCAGTTCATTGGTCTTTTAGCTAGTTTCAACGGGTACAATATTTTGAGAAGGATGTGCTTACCCTTCCCGAGCACCTGATATAATTTCCGATTTTTTGGTGGATTTCGTGTAGTCATTGGTTTTTTATGTAGTGTTATGTTTTTTTTTTACCATGATTTATCGGGTTCTCTTGTGAGTTTTGATACCCCGTTAGTACCTGCCGCCTCTGTTTCCGAATGTTTTACAAACTTATTGTTGACTTATTTTGGATATGTATCATATTGATTTATTTTAACCGAAATTTTTAATATATGGATAAAAGGAGGATTAGGATAAACATGTCCTTGAGATAGTAAGCCAACAACACAAGTAAAAAAAAATAAAAATAAATTCTGCCATATGATAATACAGTAATTGTTATCACGTATAAGCAGCAATACACATAAAGTAATTGGTAATGATCCATAAACAATCCTATTTTATATTTTTTCTGCCATATCGAAGTTCATTCTTCTAAGCTGATTATGATTAAGCTGTTTATTATTCACTAATATTTTATGAATGTATACTAATCCTTATGTTGTACAAGAAATGTGTATGCAGGTGACGAGACAATGAAAATATTGGCAAATGTTCTAGACGTTTATTATCCTTTGGCTCTCAATTCGTCGGTAAATCTAATCGTATATTTAAGCAAAAACTGTTAGCTGGTTCAAATCAATTTTTTACATAAAGTGTTTATATCATTTGTATCATCAACTTCAACTCGGGCTTTAACTAGTTCATGTATGTGCATTATATAATACTAGTGTCCCGTTTTAGAACAGGGTGATCGAACTAACATTAATTTTGATATTTAGAATTATATATGTAAACAATAATCTCATCAATTAAACTGATAATGTAAAAATATCTTTAAACTTGAATTTTAACTATTTGTTTTGCATAAAATATGTAAAAATATACTTGAAAACATTCATATATATATGTTAACCTTGATTTTCAACAATTTGAATCATTAGTTTTGCATAAAATATGGAAAAATATACTTGAAAACATTCGTATAAATATGTTAACCTTGAATTTTAACAATTTTAATCATTTATTTGGCATGCTAAAGTAAAAAATACTTGCAAACATTTCATATATTCATATAACTTCAAAATGCTTTTCTGGTGTCAGATGATGAAGACGCTAAATTGAAATATAATGAAAGGCAACGTCAGTTTCATCAGCTAATTTTATATATTGAATTACATAAATGAGAGGCGAAGGATACCAAGGGGACATTTAAACTCACAAGTCGAAAATAAACTGTCAGTGATGCTATCTGTATTACATACTATTTATTTTTCGAGTTCCTGCTTTTTGACCTTATGAACACATGTACACTACTCTAACTTATCAATTATTTTCGTAAATATAATATTAGCATTATTAAATAAATTCTTCAGTTTATTAAATATATTTTGGAATTTGTGACGAAGATGGTCGGGTTTCTTCTGTACAAAGGTTTTACCCTTGAAATTTGTTATACATGTACAAAAATTTTGTTATTAAATATTACACAAGCTAACACTGTACGACGACTCCTGGTTGTACTGTTTATATACATTATAACCGTGTACCATCTGATTGCAATGATATATTATACGTCAATAATGGTGTATTTCAAATTTTAGTTGATATGGACAGACAAAAGAATAAATCAAAAATCCTTTGAACCAAGAAAATAGGTTTTATTTTTATTTTAAATACATAAGAAGCTTTTTCGACGTCATCCCGTTTTTTGTGTGATTTTTTCAGTTATTGTTATCACAAAGATATTTTACTTTTAGTTCCATTTTCAGATGTTAACATTCGTACTGAATTTCAAATATTTATATCTACGTAAAATCTACCTGCAAATCATCCTTGAAATGAAGAAAGGGATTTTATCAGTTAATAAATTAGTTAATTTACTGGATCTAAGTCCGTTTTAATCTTGTATTATAGAAATCAGCACGCTCAAGAGTGTCCACGGGGAAACGCCGACCAGGAACGATACAAGTGATTGGGATTTCTCCAATGGAACCTTTAAGTGAAGGCATGGAGGATAATAATCTTACAAAAGTGGAAGAGGTAATTAATGTTCTAGTACATATCACACTTTTACTTTTGTAGACATTGTATATAAGTAAAAGAATGTTTAAGTAGTGCGGAAGTTAACTCTTTATTGGAGCAAGCGCCAACAGTGGTGTGTTAAAAAGAGATTTTTTTGGAAACTTATATTAATAAAATATAAATATTTCTTTTTTATTGAAATTCAATGAAAAATTTTCAGTTTATTTTTGATTTGAAAGACTCGGCTCTACTTTTCACCTTAATGTTCTTTTCGTATATTTTTTTACGCCAGATATCAAAATTTAAAAAAAAATATATCTCGATTTTTCATCTTTTTGGTAGGACGAAGTTGTGATTACGATGAAAATAAAATGCCAATCTCCATTTAGACTTTAGTGTATTGGAGGTAGTGTTTCACTTGTCAGTTTATGATTGAATAGAAGCTGATATTATATGGTCATTCACTTTTGTTTAATATTCACTTTCTGATCTCGTACAAAAACGTAACAGAAACAAAACAGCACGAAATGAACTCCTATTTCGCAGCTATATACAGAATTTTCATGTTTACTTACCGTGTTAATTATTTCCTTTAAACAATAAAATTATCATGATAAATAGAAAGTTTCTGATAATTACAAAACAACTTCCGGTAGAACAACATTATCCGTCAATCTAAGCAGTGAAAGAAAATTGTAACAGATGCCAAACTGTATTGAACAATTAAGTACACCAATTGTCATACAAAGAGTAATTGCAAGGAAATAAAGAGAAATAGGTGCAGCTAATTTCACCAGTCCAAACTTTCACATCTATTATTCATACTTTTAAAACAAAAGTCCTGCAAGGTATAAGTTTTGCAATTTTAAATGCTTTTTATATTACCAGAAAGTTTAGTATTTTTTTAATTAACAGACGGAGGGTAAATTCAGCGTAAAAAGTCGGCCAGACAGTGGTATCGCTGTGAGCATGTCTTCTGGTAGTTACTCTAGTTACTCAAGTTCAGATACGGCCAAGGAACCAAGGGATGATATTGACGAAGCCTGTCATTCTGAAATTCCTGATGTTTTATATGATAGAGTAGAAAATGTAAGCTTTTTGTTGTCAATATTGGGAATTTTATGCGACTGTCATACCAGTGAGAGGTTTAGCTAGCTATAAATCCAGGTTTAATTCACCATTGTCTACACAAGGAAATGCATGTACCAAGTCAGGAATATGCCAGTTGTTTTCCATTCGTTTGATGTGTTTGAGCTTTTGATTTTGCCATTTGTTAAGGGACTTTACATTTGAAATTTCCTTGGAGTTTGGTATTTTTATTATTTCACTATTTAGAACGAGGAGATAGTTTGACACTATTTTTTATCTGCAAGAAAAATCCTAAATAGATATAACTTTTAGACTATCAGTCTTCAGTGGTATCACTTGACCAAAAGTCTGAGCTTTGGCACTGGTATTCTTTGAAATGAATTCCACAATAAATTAATTTCACAATTTTGAATATAATCAAGATTAATCTATCTTTAGAATTTTTTTCTGGTCTCAGTCTTTTCATATTTTGTTTTTGCTTTTGTTTGTTTTCCCAATCCATGTTCTATTCACATGTCATGTAAATAATGTAAAACGCTGTATCACAGACATTAATAATATTTTTTTTATTCCTTACATTGATCACATACTAAATAAGTTTCTTTTTCAATGGAACACCAATTTAGTACATGTAATTTCAAAATTTGTCTCACTACTTTATAGACATCTGCAATAGTTATCTGCATATATTTTTTTTATTAGTTTTACAGCTACTATCGAAACTATATTAAAAGAAATTGCAAATCAAAATGATGCATGGCATGATTGTTGGTGTTTTATGTGCAAAATACAGTTTGAAGATTCAAATAGGACTTCGTATTACACATTTATTATTTTTAACATAATTAAATTTCAATATTCGAAAAAAAAATGATAACCTTTAAATTGTTGTATTCTTATTAAGATAAATTAAACGAAATAAAACCCCTATATATGATATATAGTTACATAGTTTATGTGCATTGCAGGTTAAACCTGAAGCCTTCAACGACATCAAAAGTCTTGTTGCTGGAATAACAAAGGATCTGACATCTACTGAGACGAAAGCTATGGCGTTATACCAGTGGCTTGTTAGGATAAGTTTCGATAAGTACACAAAAACTACGAAACGAATAAGTACGCCATGTGCTAAACTACGCCAGATAGTAGACAAGAAACTCAGCTATGCACAATTCTATCAGGATTTATGCAAGTAAGTTGTTTTTAGTTTGTCACCTAAATCACAATCTTTTATACCGGGAAGTATTACATAATTTCTTTCCGTTTCATCCGACTAATTAACAATAGTTTACATTTTCTTTAAAGATTTTTGGAATTTGATTTTATAGATACAATTTTGATAGCATCTCTATTTGGCTAATTGTTACAAATCTCAATAAAAAGATCAAAGGTCAGTGTTATCTGAGTTTTTGACATGTGCACTTAATTGTCTTGTGCAAGTTGCGTTTTCGCTTACAGATATAAACAATATGCAGGCGTTCGATAAAAACGTTTTCGAATGAGTTAAAGCCCCAGTAGTAAAGAAAATAACTAAGAAAGTTTTTTTGAAAATTCAAAAATGCAAACTTACTGTAAAATAAACTTGAGCTAGATATTGTTTCGTGTCTGCACGCATCTATGGCTTGTATGTTTGTTGAGAAATCTGTTTGTGGCCTTTATACTAGCACTAATCGGTTTCAAGTAAATAAAGCTTCAATAAAGGACAGTACTTACAAAATAGACTAACGCATTAGCTCAGTGCAATGTGTTACTAGTAATTAGTATAAAACGTGATGCAAACGACAGTAATCTAACAACGCTATAGCAAAAAAGGTTAATCCGGAGGTAAAAAACTAACGCCAACAATACGCAGACATCCACGTCATAAGACAGACATGAAGTTCATAAAAGTTTGCGAAAGAGTTAACCGATAACATACAAAATGAAATGTACAAACAGTTCAGTCAAAGAAAAGAGATTAAGAAACACAAGAATTTTGCTTTATCTGTGTATTATATTTCTTTCAGGGCTGCTGGAATTAAATGTGAAAAGGTCGAAGGTTATGTTAAAAACAAAGACTATCTTCCGGGAAATACAGTGCAATCATCTAAATTTTTACATACGTGGAATGCAGTGAGCATTGATGGACAATTCAGACTTGTTGATCCTTGTTTCGGAGCAAGAAAAGAGAAATATTTCATTGATCATTATTTTGCAACATCACCAGACGATTTAATATTATCCCACTTTCCAAAGGAAAAGAGATGGATGCTAATGAATCAGTCTTTATCAGTAGAAGACTTTGAAGGGACAGTCAAAACATGGCCGGCAATGTTTCATTTTAATATCCGACCGTTAAGTATGAAATCTGTTATTCGGACTTACGATGGTAAACTAAGTGTGACTGTATTACTTAGAGGCGTGGCTGTAATACCAGTGTTAGAGTATTCTGGCCCTGGTGCAGAGTTAGACGCTGACTCACTTCGAGACAACATTGATGAAGAAATTCGAGACTCGGACAATGCCGAGACATTCCACATTACATTGCCACAAGAAGGAAATTATTACTTTACTTTAACAGCACATATTATGAAAGAAAACAGAGATGTGCCTGTATTTCAACATCGTATAGAATACGTTGATGAATTGTTATGAGATTGTGTACGTGCATAAATCTTGATGTTTTATATTTGGTGTTAATTAACTCAATTTGAATGCAAATGTTGAAATTTAATCAGCATGTCACTGATTTCGTACAATTTTCCTTATTGAGAATGTAATTTAATAGCGTAATTGATTACCAAAAGTATATAATTTCATACGTGATGCCATAAATAGAGACTGTCATTATAGAAAGCTAGAGAGAGGGTAAAAGTTTTATTTTTAGGTCTTGTTGTGGAATGTGTTTAGGTGCCATATCATTACCATTCTAATTGTTTTATAATTTGAATATAAAATTTAAGTTGTCTACAAATGGTTGTTTTTATGAATAATGATTTATTTTATGTTATGTTTATCTCGTCAGAAAAACATTGTACAATCAAAAGATAGTGTGTGCAATGTTACCACCACATTTTAATGTTTTTAAATTTCAATGAAGTTACAAAGTAAAAGATATTTAGAGTAATGCAAGATGGTAAATGAATTGTACTTAAGTTAAATAAAAACACGTGATTGATAATATAAGCGAGCTATCTCTCTTGCAACAATTGGGTATCTGGGTCACCCATGTTGTCAGGATATGTTAGATCCAATACAGATAAAGGACAGGAAAGCAGTCTTATTGCGCATATTGCTAGCTCCCTCAGTCAATGAAAGCAAATTGAAAAGACAATAAAAAATCGTACACATTGAAACATTAACTTGTGCAAGCATTATTCAAAATCTTATTTGTATTGAGATGTTTCCATATTTAACATTGAACACTGTATGTAATCGTATAGCGTGTGTGATGCAATACTGTTCCTTGTCCACTGATTTCGTCCATTTCCGTCTGTGGTCGGTACTGTAAACGGAAATTGCCGATTATTATCGATGGACTGTCCTCTGGTAGTCATTATTATATATACCTACCTCGTTTGTTATTTAACATCTTATGTAGATAGTTTATAAATATGGTGGAATAGGGAAAAATTTCAAAATATTTGAGTAGACATTCAAACTTTTAACTATTCTTTATAATAAATTTTCAAGATTTGCTTTATATATTCTTCCCCTTTACTTTATAATAATTCCTTTAAAATGAGATTGTCCTAGCTTGCAATCTTGACTGAAAAAGTCTTGGTTGTGGTCAAGACTTATGATATCTGAAACGAGTCATTTAAAATGAAAAAAAATGCTTCAAATCAACACGATACAAGCATTTCTCTCTGTATAAACTTTTGTTTTGTGTTAACTACTAGTACCCTATTCTACCATATTTTTGTTAGCGTTTGTTTGTGTTGTATCAGCCCAAATCAAAAGTTTGAAGGCTGGGACATACCATATCAGTATTGACATGTAGCAAGTGCTCTTACGTTATGTTTGTATTAGGTTTAGAACTTCCGCATTTAATTTATTGTTACATTTTATCATTGTTATCATTATCGAAAGTGCTACTGCTGTTGGGATATAATCTCATAAAAAAATCACAGTACTCATCTTTCTGTATTTCATTTCCTTATTACAAAAATGAATCCCAGTGTTCTGGATTTATCTCGAAATTTAACAAATCGTTCTTTTGTTAAAAAAAAAGGATGAACAATTTACTCCCCTTCTCACTAGTCAAGTTTTGATATAACTACTTCATATGATTTGATTTTCTGATGTAAACTTGTTTATCGAAATTTCAAAAAATATAACTTTAAATTTTGGTTTGAAAACAGATGAAAAATTATATCTTTTTTAAATGTTTTATTTTACCTGGAAACAAGCTACATGTATGACAGTTTTGTGCTGTTCCATTTCATTTGATGTTTTAACAATGGAATCTGTATTTGATAAGAGTTCTCGTGAGTTAGTATCTTAAATTAATAATAAGTTTGAAGATTTTTTTAAAAAGTATTTTGAATTTGCTTAATCTAGGTAAAAACTGAAATTTTCTTCAAATTAAATAAAATATAACTGTTTCACACAAATATCTGTATGTTGTAATTTTATTTTCTCATGAATCTTAAAACTGTTCATTGTTGCCATGGTAATCAGCATTACTGTTTGACAGTAACAATCAGACACCGTCCATTATACAAACTGTGATATAATATTTTGTCATTCAATATGTATTCATTTTTTATAAATTATATTGTTGCTTAAATAAAAACATCATCAAAATATTTCTTTTCGTAATGTTGTTATCTTCATTGCCATGGTTGTGATTAGATCTATAGGATATGCATACCCAAATGACACCAAGAGAAGAAAGAAACAGTGAATTCCTGTTGACATTTTAAGAAGCCTTTTTGAATAGTTTCAAAAATGCCGTAAAACATCAAGATTCTTTCACCTGGACACAAGGGTATGCCATGTAGCCAATGCGTAGATATTCTAATGAATAAATTACCAAATTTCTATTGTAAATTTTCAAGAACTATTATGTGATTCTACTAACGATAAACTCGACTCATTCAACTGCTGATTTTAGACGGATTTGACTGTTCTGATCCTGAATTTTTGTTTTAAAGGCATGCTTCATCACGATATAAAAGTTTGCTTCCAAAAGTTATGCTTACCCTTCCGGAGCACCTGAGATCACCCACAGTTTTTGGTGGAGTTCGTGTTGCTTAGTTTTTAGTTTTCTATGTTGTGTTTTGTGTACAATTGTTTGTCTGTTTGTCTTTTTCTTTTTTAGCCATGGCGTTGTCAGTTTATTTTCTATTTATGAGTTTGAATTTCCCTCTGGTATCTTTCGCCCCTCTTTTATGGACATATTAAAAAGTATATAGTAACCGTGTATATAAATATGAAAAAGGCTTTTAGAGACTCGGGACCGTTTAGAACTTTATAATAACGTAATTATAGACTCTTGTATTTATTTGAAGTCTGTTCTTTGACCGGTGACCTACTATTACTTAAATCCATATTTTACCACATCTCCTTATTTCATACTGTAGGTGCATATTTTTTGTGTAGTTAGGTGTGGGGTTGTTGTCTCAATGATTATATTGAGATGAAGATCATGATGGTGATAACTGATATTACTCGCAATGATATTGGTATGGGACGTACATGTATAAAAGAAAAAAGGCGAAAAGCTGTCAGACAATAGAATTCAGGTTTTGTCGACTTTGTAAAGACTCTTGCTGCAGTTTTCTAACTGAGTTTTCATGAATTTACAGATAAAATATTGATTCGTGTATTGTACCAGTAGAAGCGGTTTTTGCGTTGTGTTAATAATGCCTCTGAAAATCTCGTACACAAAAGACTGTTTACATAGGTTGGAGTGTTTACTCATCCAAAAAGTCCAGGTCTCTTCTTAAAAACTTTGTTAAAAGATAAATTACGAGGCAAAATATAGGTTAAAACAACTTTTGTACTTTTAAATGAAAAAAAACCCCAACAAAATCAAGATCTAGATTTGTTGCCAAATTTTCCAGTATGCATGGTATGTTCTATTGTTCGCAATAGATTGTAGTCTATATATCTGATTATAGTCCCTGTCAATAATCCCACTGACCTGAAACCATTATAATAGATTTATGCCATAAATTAGGTTGCAACTAGGGAACTATAGGCATGATTTGGTTAATTAAGAATTGTCTTGTTAACAAGTGAAATATTATATTCTTAAATTGAATAAAAGCTTTTGTTGAGAAGTTACTAGTAACAACTTGAACAAAACTATTTCTTAATGAGTTAATGACGAAATTAGGCACATGGCACAAATGTGTCATACTATCGCATTATACTGAAATAACTAATTAAGACAGTATGCATGTATTCAAACATCGTGTACAGGTATTAAAATCGGCGTAATAACTAGGTTAAAGATGGGAAAATACGCTTGTATAAAAAATGAAAATAGTCGGTCTCTTTTGCTATTTTACAGTTATTTTTGCGTCATATGCACGTTTCGCTCTTTTCGAGATCAATGCAAAGTATCATATATACAAGTATTGGAAACAAATTAATGTGGGAAACATTCGATTTTCTGTTTCTCTATTAACACTCCCTTTATAGTAATTTTATGCTAATTTAAAAGGCTTTAATGTCTATCATAATTTTAGGCTTATTTATTTTTTTAAATCATCGAGTTTTGCAGATTATTACATTTTCAACCACAGTACAATGTAACACCATTATCATTGTTTAGTCAATAAGATGCCAAATGTCATCGAAGCTGACAAATCGTACTGAAGACGTGCAAGAAAGTTGCACTGTTACCAAAAACATATTTCACCGTAGTTGTTTTAACATGTTACAGTTTAAACATTAATTTTAATTTGCTATAAATGTCAACGCTAAGTTGGTAGGTGACCAAACTTTTATCATTTTTCTTTAATTCTTAATGTTTACCTTTAGAGAAAACAAGAGGACAATATAAAGGGTAGCGTACCCATGTCCGATTAAGATTTCATAACTCTAGGTAAAAGGTATAAAGGAAGCATACTGAAGTTCAGTAAAGACCTCGAAGTTTAGTTAAGATCTCATGACTCTAAGTAAATATAAAGGAAGTATAATGAGGTTCACCATATGTCCAGGCATACGGTCACATACCGATTCTTGTTAATATCTCACAAGTCTAGGTAAAAAATAAATCAGTAGCATTATGATGTTAAGTTCATATTTTTTTAAGTCCAGGTATAAGACTTAAACGTAGTCTACCGATGTTCAGTTATATCTCACACGTTTAGGTATAATATATTAAAGTATCACGCATACCGATGTTCATTTATTATCATAACTCTAGGTAAAATATATAGAGGTACAATGTATCATTCCAAGGTTCAGTCAAGAACTAATAATATGAAAATAAGGAGTTGATTGCCAGTTAGACAACTATCCACCAAAGTTCAAATGAAGTGAATGTAAGCAATTATAGGCAACCGTACGGCCCATACCTTATAGTCGGCTATGAAAGGCCCCGACATGAAAAATATGAAACAATTCAATTGAGAAAACTAACAGCCTAATTCATAACAAAACAATTTACGAAAAACAAATATGACAGACATGAACCAACGACAACCACTGAACTACTGGCTATTGATTTGGGACAGGCACATATAGAATGTGGCGGGGATAAACTAGTTTGCTGTTGCCAAACCCTCCTCATAACCTGGGACAGTGGTGTAACAATACAACAATGAACAAACAATAAAAATCAGTTGAAAAGGGCTTAATTCATCAGATGGATACAAAGTCTAGAATAAAGATATAAATGTAGCATACTCATGTTCAGTGAATAAATCCATATTAGTGCTGGGAAGGTATAAGATTAAAAATATTATAACGATGTTCGGTTTATATCTCATAAGTCCAGTTATAAATATAAAGGTCGTATGCCGATGTAGCTAAAATCTCTAAAGTCGAGGCATAAGTTATTAATATCTTAAAAGTCAAGGCATAAGATATTAATATCTAAAACGTCAAGGCATAAGATATTAAGATTAAATACTGATGTTCAGGGAATATCTCACCATAAGTAAAGGTATTCTATGTAAAGGCAGTATACCGATGTTCAGTAACTATTAACTCATCATAAATGCCAGACTTAAAAAAATTTTCGTCTACAAAAGACGCATCAGTGGCGCTCGAATGTAACAAGAGTTCCCAAAATTTCTCATAAATCCCGGCATGAGATAAACATTGTATACTGATTTTCAGTTCAAATCTTATTAGTCAAACCATGAGATATAAAGGTAGCATACTGATATTATGTTAATAGCTCATAATGATAATAATAATAATAATAATAATAATTCTTTCTTTAAAGAGAGTTATACAGTCAGCTATAAAACTAATCTTCTCTGAGGCCCTCCAAGTCGAAGCAAAGGATTAAAAAAAAGGTATAACAATGTTAAGCCAATCTTCCAATACGTTCAGTCATAATGTATTAATGTAGCATACCGATGTCTAGTTAATATCTCCCAATAATTCTAGTCATTAGATGTAAATGTAGCATACCGATGTTAAGTAAATATTTCCCAATAATTCTAGTCATAAGATGTAAATACCGATGTTCAGTTAATATCTCAATTCTAGGCAGATCACTTAAAACTTTTACTTAATTCTTTTGCCAGTTTTTGTCTCGCCTTGACGGAGTCAAAAAGTGAGACATAGGTATTCTGTTTACGGCGTCGGCGGCGTCGGCCGCGGCGTCAACAATGTATAAGTTTGTGATTAGGTCTAGTTTAGTGTGAAACACAAGTGGTAGGCCAATCATATTTGATACAGCTGTATTAGCATTGGCACATCTCATTTCCATGGAGATTATTTGGCCCTGCCCCCTCAGTCATGGTTTATTGACTTTGGAACTTTTGCTTTGTTTACATGTATTAGTTTGTGATTAGGTCAGTCTATGAGGAACCACTAGTGGTAGGTCAATGATATTTGGTATGCGGTTGTATAAACATTGGCATATCTCATTTCCATGGCGATTATTTGGCTCCGCCCCCTTAGTCATGGTCTATTGACTTTGAAAATTTTGCTTAGTTAACATGTTTTAGTTTGTGATTAGGTCAGTTCAAGGGGAACCATTAGTGGTAGGCCAATATTAACTGGTATTCAGTTGTATATGCATTAGCACATCTCATTTCCACGAAGAATATTTGGCCCCGACCGCTCTGTCATGGTCTATCGACTTTGAAACTTTTGCTTAGTTTACATGTATTAGTTTGTGATTAGATCAGTTTAAGATGAACTTCTAATGTTAAGTCAATGATATTTGGTATGCAAATTTATTAGCATTTGCAAGTATCGTTTCTATGGAGATTATATAGCCCCTACCCCTCTTCATGGTTCATTGATTTTGAAACTTTTACATAGTTTACAAGTTAATGTTTGTGTTTCGGTTTATTTAAAGGGAACGACTTATAATAAGTCAATGGTATTTGGTATGCAGTGGTATTAGCATTTCCATGGAGATTGTTTAGCCATGTACCTCAGTCATGGTTCATTTACTTTGAATATTTGCATAACTTACAAGTTAAAGTATTGCTATTTTAATTTCAACATTTGCATAATCAAAATTACAAGAAGGCAAGACATATCTCTGTGATAACAGTTTTTTTTATATCTGGTTTGGAATTTTGGCTGTTCCTGTAAAATTCTTTCTACAAACGAGATATTGCTTATAGAGCCCATAAATCTAGATAAGACCAATGTAAATGTAATG